CACACACACACACACACACACATACACACCCACACACACACAGTCAGATATGATGGTTTTATATTTCTCATGATGCTTGAACACAACATGGACAAATGTAGGTCAAATTAAAGCCGAGTAAGCATCACACAGATCTGTCAGCTGCCTGCAGTGAAAGATGCTATTTTTAATCTTGCAGTCATTGTGAGAGGAGGTGGTGTCGTTAAATCTACAACCACTGCACCTTCACTGGCACTGAGGGGGAGCTGAGGGGCTGCAGCACACAGAGGGATCAGACCTGTGTGTGATATTATTATCACTGGGTTTATTAGAATCAAATATATTTGAAGTCTGCTTGACTCACCTGACCAGGTCTAGTTGTTAAAAATGACTGATAACCCTGAATAAATGACACCTGTGAGCCTCTGTGCACCTGTGCTGCCTTTAAATTTAACATGTGATGGACTGCTGTACAGCACAGAGCAGGTAGAGGGCGCTGTTTTCTCAGAGTGTGGTGTGTGGTGTATGGAGTCATAAGAGTGCCGAAAAAAACTGTAAAAGTATAATAAAATAGTTGTGTAATAAATATAAATAATTACAAGAATAAATAAGTAAATTAAACTGTGAAAATAAGAGAAATAGATAAATAAAAGATAAATGTGGAAATATAAAGTAACAAAAATACAAAAGAATAAATATAAGCATTTTCATTTCTTTTCACATTTTTATTTGTTCCATTTTATTAACTTTATGTATACATTTTTTATTTTCATTTTTATCATTATTTATATCTTATTCATTTCTTTTTATTACACACACAAAAAACTGCATGAAATCCAAATAGTGAAAAAATAAAAATAAATTTAAAAAATAATCTGTAGATGTATAACAAAATAAAGATGGAAATATAAAGAGAATTTAAAAAAAGAATACATACATGTGGGAATATAAAGTCAAGTCACAAAAATAATTAAAAGCATTTCACATTTTTATTTATTCACTTATTTCTGTATATATTTATCACGACTGTCTGCGTCATTCATGTATATATATTCTATTGTCCATTGTTGAATAATACATATTGCTATATTTCTGAAACTAAACATACTAGTTTTATTAATTGTAATGTAGTAAGTTATATTCCTTATATTTTAGATACCTGTGTTAAAGATTGTAGCATAATGCACTTTTTTTTATTTACATGTACATTATTTTATTTTATCTTACTTTACTTCATTTTATTTTATTTCATTTTATTTTACCTTACTTTACTTTTTTCATTTCATTTTATCTCACTTTACTTTATTTTTATTTTATTTCGTTTCATTTTATTTTATCATACTTTATTTTACTTAATTTTATTTTATTTAATTTTATCTTATTTTACTTTATTTAATTTAATATTATTCTATTTTATCTTACTTTATTTTATTTTATTTTATTTTATTTTATTTGCACACATAATATGGCATAAAATCCAAATAGCAATAAAGAAAAATAAGAAATGAGTCAGAAGAGTTCAAAAAACCAAAACACATACAAAAAAACAGAAATGTATATGCAAATTTAAGTGTTTTAAATATATAAATTCATACAGAAATAAATTAAGAAATAAATACATGAGAAAAAAATCAGTGTTTTTGTCTTTATATTTCCACATTATTTATTTATTAATATTTCCATATTTTCATTTACTTTTTCTTTTATTCTTTTTATATTTCCCCATTTATTTTCTAATCCTGTGAGGGAGTTAAGCCTTTTATGGCACTCTGATGACTCCACAGAGAGGAGGTGAAAAGCTAATGGAACAGTCATGTTTAGTAAATTATATATTTATAAAGCTGCAGAGGAGCAACATTATTTTTGAAAAGCTTCTTCCTGGAACTGTCCTGCAGGATTTGGCAACTGCTTGTGTGGTTAGAGGTTTTTAATCATCACAAATACCCACTGAAAAGAAAAGTTTATTTTAGTTTCCATTTGTCCCGTATCATGTGATGAAGTATTTTACGATAAGATCCTCCAGGGATCCTCTTGGTTTGGTCCCAGTGGTGGAAAATTGTTTCTCAGTTACTTTGCGTAAATGTTGGTTTGCCGTACTTGTCGTGTCTTCGCACATTGTTGTGACTCCATAAGACGGCCCCAAACTCAGGGTTAGGACACTTCAGGTTTCAGGGTTAAGGCAACCCGCTCTTATTCCAAAGTCGTCGAATACAGGTGCTCGGGCAGTGACTTTGGTGTCAGACATCAACAAAAAAGGCATCCTTTCATATTGGCATGACACACAGCCAGGTGCCATCAGTGTATAACAGCGCCCAACAGTATCGGGGGAAATGTAGCCGCACAGTAGCGTAGGTTGGGCGGTAGTGTTGATGGATGGGTCCAACAATCACCGACTGTCACCTGGGAGGCTAGTGTTCACTTCCTGTCTGAATGCAAAGCCAAACCCTGTTGTATTTTCTAAATGTAACCATGTGCAATTCACAGTGTTGTACTGTCGTAGTGCTTTTATTTTGAAAGAGACTGTATGCAAACTGTACATTTCCAGTGACAAGAGAAGTGTATTTTGAAAAGACACAATGTATGTAACAGGCTGAAGTTGACACGGCGTCCCAGAACTCAGGCTACCTTACACGTGACGATGTCGGAGTGAGAATGTGTTGGTTATGGACAATGGATGTGGAGCTTGGGACTCCATTTGCTGCCGTCTCCCAGCTGAGTCAAATGTGTGTGTGTGTGTGGGGGGGGGGGGGGGGGGGGGGGGGGGGGGGGGGGGGGGGGGACAGTCTACCAGTGTTTCCCAAGAAACTGTCAAGGGAAGAAGTTGACCTCACACACACACACACACACACACATGGTGCCGTACCCCTATAACTCGCAATCTCCCCCAGGGTCTGATAAATCCTCCCACTCACCCCGTCCCTCTCTGTTGTCACATGCACACACACTCACATACGGTACAGCTGTTCAACTTTCACCTTCGACCTTTGTGTCACCAGAGGAGGAAGTAGCGCTGGTGACCCATCGTCACATGACGACCCATGGTGACACCCGGGGAGACGGATGACGGAAGGAAGTTGGAGATTACAGTAATATTTATGAGTAAATAAATAAAGAATCCAGATTTACAGGAAGACGCATGACTGAGAGAACAACTGTGACAGAGCATCACCACTTTGTCTGTCGACTGCATGAATCAGCACATCTGATATTACATCAACTTTCGTGTCCATAAATCTCTTTTTTTAAATTATTCATGTGTCCTTTCATACATGTGGTGTGTGTGTGTGTGTGTGTGTGTGTGTGTGTGTGTGTGTGTGTTTGTGGTCGTACTCTCCAGCGTGAGAAAGCTCTCTCCTGAGGGAAGTGTTTGACCGCCCCACAACAGGAAGTGGGGACTATTCCCCGCTCCAAAACACACAAATGTTTGTACTTGCACCCTTGTGAGGACCCTTTCTGTCGAAATGTTCTCTCTAGCCCTTTATAAACAGGAATTGTGCAAATTTGCAGGATAGCCCAATCAGTCTTTTTTCAGCATTGGCAGTATAAAAACAAAATCAGGGAGTGCAGCAAAATGCCGCCTACCTACTTTTGTTTATACAGAATGCTTCTTTTTCGGGGCAATGGGGGGCGTGAGCAAGTAACAAAACGTGTAGCTCAGCGTGCGACGTAAACAGTGACGTGGGAGGGAAGCCGCGGCTGATCAGTCCTTCGGCGATTCTCTCATAAGTCGGCCCGTTCTTCATCGTTCCTGTCATCTGACGGTTAATGGCCTCTTCGTTTGCGAGGACAAGGAGGGCGCGCAATTCCTTGTCTCCCCAGTTGCTCATCTTTACAGTGTCTGTCAGGTTTGTGTTTCCCTCTTGCTACTAGCTGCTCGCTAATTCCTGCTATCAGCTGTTTCCTGTTTATCCACTGCCAGTGGGTCGCACATACGGCGTCATCAACAGCTCCTCCCACAAGTCTTCAGCATCCCGTTGCGGAAGGCCGCCTCGGTCTGTTTAAACTAAAAAGGTTCCGCCAATATGTCTACCCTATGAGGCAGAAAATTGGGCGCCTCAGATCAACTCGCCAATCCGCCTCTGTGTGTCTAAACGCTTGCATCTTGCCAGCAAAACGGCCCAACATTTGCCGAAAATCTGGCAGTGTAAAAGGGGTTTCTGTTGCCCCTGACGTTATAAGCGTAACCAACTCTCTACCAAACACCAACCCTCGCCTCAACGTGAACCTAAAAATCTTTCTAAGCTTGAACCTAAAATCAAGACTGAACCCTCAAACCGCCCTTTGAAGAACGAGGACCAGACAAAATGTTCTGTTTGCCAAAAGCATCCACACTTCTCAAAGACATCCAAAACGACATTACAGTTGACAAAAGAAAAAGCTTTAAATTAGATTAGTATCATGCTGCACAATTTAAGCCATTAGTGTGTTGGTGTGTGACAAACTGTGACTCTAAATGGAAGACTTTAGAAATGGAGAGGAATTAAGATTGGAGAAACAGGTAGGATCATGAGTTGGATAGCATATGACCCAGGATTTAGCCTGTTAGGTTGGATGAGAGATTTAAGCTGTGGGTCTCTCTGTTTGATCACCTCCAACGGAAAATTACAGAGCTATCGGGATGTATCAAAGACATTTGGACTAGGAAAGCAGGACCTCTACAGATATCTGCAATATAGGGACTCCCTCAACTGCATACATAATGGGATAAAATAAAAAGTTAGTTTCGAGACTGAACGTCAGTATTCAAATTTCAAAGAATCAATCTACAAAATATATCAAACAAAAATGGGAGAAAAAATCAGACATGCAATAACAGTGATGCGAGATAATACGAATCATGTTTTCCAGGCCCAAAAATTCAGCCATATTGGCAGGAGACTGCAGCTGAGATCCATAAGATCAATTGAATTAATTCAG